AAAAAAAAAAAAAAAAAAGTAGAAGAAAAAACAGATTCCTTTTATGAGGATTTCCACTTGGTGAATGTTTCTGCAGCTTCCGGAATTCTGCTTAAAATGTGTTTCTCGAATTTGCCTTTTTTTGGTTTTTGACTTGTACCACCACTTGAGACAGCTTTATTTGGCCTAGGATCTGAAGAGAAGCTGCTCCCCATCCTGAAGGATCAATTCTTTGGCTTTAGACATCTGCTCACACCTATAATCCCAGCATTTTGGGAGGCTGAGGTGGGCCATCACTTGAGGTCAGGAGTTTGAGACCAGCTTGGTCAACCTGGTGAAACCCCATCTCTATTAAAGATACAAAAATTCACTGGGCATAGTGGTGCATGCCTGTAGTCCCAGCTACTTGGGAGGCTGAGGCAAGAGGAAAAACCTGGAAGGCAGAGGTTGCAGTGAGCCCAGATCACACCACTATACTCCAGCCTGGGCAGTAAGAGTGAGACTTTGTTAGAAAAGGAAAGAAAAGGAAAGAGAGAGAGAGAGAGAGAGAGAGAGAAATAAAGAAAGACAAAGTTATCTATGGAATTATAATTACAGATGTCAGTTGTGATCTTTTTGTTTGTTGGTTTTTTGAGACAGGGCCTCACTCGAATCACCCAGGCTGGACTGCAGTGGCACTCTTGGCTCATTGAAGCCTCAACTTCGCAGGCTCAGGTGATCCTCCCACCTCAGCCTTATGAATAGCTGGGACTACAGGCATGTGCCCCCATGCCCAGCTAATTTTTTGCAGAGACTGGGTTTCGCCATGTTGTCCAGGCTGGTCTTGAACTCCTGGACTCAAGTGATCCACCGTGCCTGAGATAGTTGTGATCTTACATTAGAGAACACCTATTATGTACCAGGCACTGGGATTTAAGAATGAGAGGTGAGGCCGGGTGTGGTGCTCAAGCCTGTAATCTCAGCACTTTGGGAGACTGACGTGGGCAGATCTGCTGATGTCAGGAGTTCAAGATCAGCCTGGCCAACATGCCAAAAACCCATCTATACTAAAAATATAAAAATTAGCTGGGCATAGCGGTGGATATCTATAATCCCAGCTACTTGAGAGGCTGAGGCAGGAGAATCCCTTGAACCCAGGAGGCAGAAGTTGCAGCGAGCCAAGATTGTGCCACTGCACTCCAGCCTGGGAAACAAAGCGAGACTCCATCTCAAATGAAAAAAAAAAAAAAGAGAGGTGAACAAAAATAGACATGGTTTTTACTATTATGATTTTTAGAGGAGAAAACAGAATAATCACACAAATGGATATATATCTGTAGTGGAGAGGCCAGTGCTATGACAGCAGATGAAGGAGAGCTTAGGGAAGGTTTCCCTGAGCTGGGGCTTGAGCTGGCTGAGATCCAAGAAAGGCATCCATGTGGGGTGGGCCGTATTTCTTCTCAGGCTTCTCAGGGTAACTGATGTCATCCAGGCCCTTTTCTGCCCCCAAATCCCCCTGGCCACTCCTCTAGGGACTCTGCATGATGATTAGTGTTTCTGCTTCAATACAAGAAAACAGGTCACCATCAAAAGCAGTGGTTCCCACACTTTTTTTTTTTTTTTGATCCGAAGTTTTACTCATGTTGCCCAGGCTGGAATGCAGTGGTGAGAGCTCTGCTCACTGCAACCGAAGCCTCCCGAGTTCAAGTCATTCTCCTGCCTCAGTCTCCCAAGAACCTGGGATTACAGGCATGCACCATCATACCTGCCTAATTTTGTATTTTTAGTAAAAATGGGGTTTCACCATGTTGGTCAGGCTGGTCTCAAACTCCTGACCTCAGGTGATCCACCCGTCTTGGCCTCCCAAAGTATTGGGGTTACAGGTGTGAGCCATTGCAGCCGACCGGTTCCCACACTTTGATGAGCATCAGAATGGCCTAAGGAGCTTGGTAAGAAGTCAGACTTGGCCGAGCGCGGTGGCTCACTCCTGTAATCCCAGCATTTTGGGACGCCGAGGCCGGCGGATTGCTAGAACTCAAGAGTTTGTGACCAGTCTGGGCAACACGGTGAAACCCTGTTTCTACTAAAAAAAACAAAACAAAACAAAACAAATTAGCTGGGCATGGCGGCGTGCGCCTGTAGTCCCAGCTACTTGAGAGGCTGAGGCAAGAGAATTGCTTGAACCCAGCAGGCAGAGGTTGCAGTGAGCCAAGATTGCGCCACTGAACTCCAGCCTAGGCGACAGAGCTAGACTCCATCTCAAAAAAAAAAGAAAGAAAAGTCAAAAGACTCCCTCCCTTTCTTGTCCATGGGCAGAAGTGGCCATTCAAGAGGTACTGCCCCAGGATTCCAGGCTGTGGGCAGAGAGCTGAGTCTCTGGAGGAGGGAGTCAGATGACTTGCCCCAAAGAGAGTATCAGCGGAGGTTCACCAGACCCACCGTTGAGAGGGCACTTCCTACTCACTGTTGTGTTTGGAGTGCAAAGATCTGGCTGAAACGATGGCCCTGGAGAAAGGGTGATGGATTTGAGAGGCTGGAGGGATGAGGATGAGTCTAGATACTGAGCTCTCAAGCCCAGGAATGAAAACTAGGTTTGGGCTTGTTTTAGGCTATGCCGAGCTTAAATTCAGAGTCAGTGGATCAGAGCTGGGGAGGAAGGCTGAGGGTGAGATCAGGATGAAGGTTTGGGAGCCCTTGCCTAGAAGGAGGCAGTTTTTTTGAGACAGCCTCAGGAGAGCGCAAACCTTCAGGAGCACAGAGCTGCAGTCTTCTTTCGGAGACCCCATCGCAGAGAAGCGCGGAAAGCAGAGGCGGGGCGTGGCGGTGCAGGAGTGGGAGTGGTCTCTTCCGTTACATTTTTTCTTTTCTTTTTTTTTTTGAGACGGAGTTTAGCTCTTGTTACGCTCAGGTTGGAGTGCAGTGGCGCTATCTCGGTTCAAAGCAACCTCCGCCTCCTGGGTTCAAGCTATTCTCCTGCCTCAGTCTCCCGAGTAGCTGGGATTACAGGCATCCGCCACCAGGTCCGGTTAATATTTTGTATTTTTAGTAGAGACGGGGTTTCGCCATGTTGGCCAGGCTGGTCTCGAACTCCTGACCTCAAATGATCCACCTGCCTCAGCCTCCCAAAGTGTTGGGATTACAGGCGTGAGCCACAACGCGCGGGCTCTTCGGGTTCTTGAAGAGAGCGTCCCTTAAGCAGGAGGGACAGGTCTTAGCACACTCAATCTCCAGGCTCGGGAGGCCCCTAGCAATTCGAACGCGGAGGGCTAGGCCACTACGGCGAGCCCACCCACCCGACACGTGCCTCAGAGTCTGGGTCAGTTACCCCACCCCAGCCCCCCGCCCCCGCCCGATCCCTGGCCGGAAACTGAGCGGTTTACTTCCGCCACCAGCCGGAAGTCTCCTGCCACTGAACGCCAAGGAGTTTCCAGGGGCTCAGCTGTGTAACCGGGGCTTCCCTATGGCGGCTTCCTTGGTGGGGAAGAAGATCGTGTTTGTCACGGGGAACGCCAAGAAACTAGAGGAGGTGCCGGGAGGGTGTTGGGGGTTGACTGGGAGGCGGCTGGGAATAGGACGGAGAAGGGGCTTCTGGGCGAGGGAACCACGTGGGAGGAGGCATGGAGAGTGAACGGAATTCAGCCGAGAAGCGTGGGTCCCCACCCGATTGTGTGGAAAGGCTGAGGCTCAAAAAGGGAGCGGCTACGGAGCCAGGACGCCCCGAGGTGGGCGAGGGAACGAGGTCCTTGACAGATCCCGATACAGGGCTTGTGTGGTCAGCGACCACCGGAGCTGGAGGAGTAGCGGGGCCTTTAGCAACCTCCCCTGAGGTCACCTATTGAACTAGACCCCAACCCTGGGTCCCGATGCTCTTCCTGGACTTATCCACCTCCTGCTGCTGGGCCAGGGCTAGAAGGACCCAGAAAGGGCGTAGGACGGAGTTCCACACTGAGCAGTCCATGCCTCACCACCGTCCTGAAATGTTCTAACCTCTTTTCGCATGTGTGAAATGAGGGTGATGCAGGACATTTGCTTCACAGCGCTATAGAGAAGAGGAGTAAAGGTGGCAGTGGATCCAAAGTTTCTGTTTGCAGGACTTTGTGGGTAGCAAGTAACACAGACACACAGGGAGCTCATGTAAGCCACCAGATGACTCTTGTGGGAATTTAGTGTTACCGTGTCCCACAGGACCTGAGGTTCCCTCAGGGAGCTGACCTGTTCTCTCCGGATACTGATTCCTATTCCTGTTCAGATCTTTCATTTTTCTTCCCTGCCGGGGATGGAACAATGAGGCTTCTACAGGATATCAGCTCTGATTGGCCTTGCTTGAATCAAGGGTTTTCCTCTGTTCAATCAGCCATAGCCAGAGTGATGTGTGGGGAATCAGGATGACGCCCACTGGATATGTCTGAGGCAGACCCCGTGGGCTGTAATCACTAGGGAAACCTACATTTGCCTGTAGCATAGGGAGGGACTGATGTCACTTCTGTGCCAGGACAGAGTGGCCTTCTCAGGAACCAGAGCCTTCTGATGGAAAAAGGTTTGGGATCCTGAGGCCAGACCGGGATCAGACAATGCCACCCAGAACAGAGCCATGCAGGACAGTGGGTATGAGACCCCAAACCTCTAGCCGAGAACATTGCCCTCCCTCCTTTAGAGGAGGAGCTGGGTGCAGTGCCTCAAGCCTGTAATCCTAACACTTTGGGAGGCTGAGGCGGGCAGATCATCTGAGATCAGGAGTTAAAGACCAGTCTGGCCAACATGGTTGAACTCCCTCTTTACTAAAAATACAAAAATTAGCTTGGCATGGTGGCACACGCCTGTAGTCCCGGCTACTCGGAGGCTGAGGCAGGAGAATTGCTTGAACCCAGGAGGTGGAAGTTGCAGTGAGCTGAGATGGTGCCTCTGCACTCTAACCTGGGTGACAAAGTGAGACTCCATCTCAAAAAAAAAAAAAAGAAGAAGGCACTAGAGTGGCCAAGGGAGGCTCCTTGGAGAACATGGACTCGAACTTGGCCTAGAACTGGTAGTCTTTTTTTTTTCTTTTTGAAACAGCATCTCACCCTGTTGCCCAGGCTGGAGTGCACAGGCCTCCTGAATTCTGGGTGTCTTCTGATACAAAATTCCTGGTCTAGGAAGATGGTTAGAGTTTCTGGGAGCATTGAGAAGGGAAGGGGGTGTTCTGGATGGGGGCTTAGCACAAGCAGAGACCTGAAGTAGGACAGATAGAGAAGTAAGGAGATGGCAGGGGCTGGCCTGCTGGGGTGGGACCCTGAAAGCTGGGGTGGGACCCTGAAAGCTGGGGTGAGGCTTATGGTCCTGAGTTGGTGAGCTTTAGGAGATCGGCAGGAGAGTTATCAATGAGAAAGGTGGATGGCAGCTCACATAGTAATGGGGAATCGTTAGACGGTGATAAATGTTCTCTTTTCTTTTGGAACAGGTCATTCAGATTCTAGGAGATAAATTTCCATGCACTTTGGTGGCACAGAAAATTGACCGTAGGTCTCCGTTTTGTTTTGTTTTGAAAAGATGGTTGGATTTCTCTGTATTCCTGTGACCTGACTCTGTGTGTCTGTTTCCCTGATAAGTGCCAGAGTACCAGGGGGAGCCGGATGAGATTTCCATACAGAAATGTCAGGAGGCAGCTCGCCAGGTACTTGCCCTGCCCTTGTCTCTTACTTGCTCCTCTTGTCCAGGTAGCTTCTGGGGCCTGTGCCTGCCAGAAACAACAGAGTAGGCACAGTTTGTTGAGCTTTCTAGGACACCTGCCCAGAGCCCTCTAGGGTTCAGTTAATATTGGCTTTGGAACACTGCCTTCCTTTGCCAGCCTTGAATACATGGTATCTCCCCCAGACCACCACCATACATACCCACATACACACAGACTCCCCTTCCCCCAAATGCTCAGACATGCATTCTAGCCCTACATCTTCCCCAGGCACATCCACCGCTGCGTTCACACATCTTCATGGAACTGAGAAAGCATGCTGTGGAGAGTCAGGCTGAGTGCAAATCCAGCTCTCCCACTGCTGTGCCTGGAGCAAGCTTTACAATCGGCCAAAGCTTTGGTATCCTCATCTCAAAGATGAAGATAAGAGATTGGCTGAGGGCAGCTCCCATGGCTCTGCCTGCTGCAGATCTCAGCTAGCTGAGGGCTGGCCCCAGTCTGGGTGACCTGGGGGTTCCAGGTGGGGACGGTGTCACGGGTCTCAGGGCTGCATGTGTTTGTGCTGCAGGTACAGGGACCCGTGCTGGTTGAGGACACCTGTCTGTGTTTCAATGCCCTTGGAGGGCTCCCTGGCCCCTACATGTGAGTGTTCACCTCCACCCCCTTACAGGGCCCCAGGCCCAAAATCACTAGAACTGCAAAATGATTAGGTACCTGATACTGCAGGTCATTCACTGTCTTGGCATCAATAGCCTTTCACATTGTCCAGAGGAAAGACAGCATAGGAGAAGCATGTCTTTCTTTTGTAAAGTGTGAGAATGCAACCATGTAAGTGGAGATAGTAAAGGGGACCCCGCCCATTTGAGAAGTACATTCATAGGTAGATTAATTTCAGGAAAGAGAAAACAAGGAAGTTGGGATGTAAAACCTGATTTCTTTCTTTCCTTTTTTTTTTTTTTTGATACAATCTCTCTCTGTTACCCAGGCTAGAGTGCAGGCATGATCATGGCTCACTGCGGTCTCCACCTCCTAGGCTCAGGTGATCCTCCCACCTCAGCCTCCTGGGTAGCTGGGACTACAGGTGCACGTCACCACACCAGCTGGTTTTTTTGCATTTATTTACTTTTGGTGTGTGAGACAGGATCTCAGTCTGTCGCTGAGGTAGGAGTGCAGTGGTGCAATCGCAGCTCACTCCCTGCCTCAGCCTCCCAAGTAGCTGGGACTACAGGCACGTGCCCAGCTAGTTTTGTATTTTTTGTAGAGATGGGATTTCGCCATGTTGCCCAGGTTTTTCTCAAACTCCTGAGCTCAAGCGATCCACCTGCCTTAGCTTCCCAAAGTACTGAGACCTCACCTGGCCCTTGGAGGCATTCTTTTTCATTTCCCTTTGGCTGTCAATAGGGAACAACCTGGAAAAGGTGGTAAGGAGATCCAGCCGCTCCTGGTGTCTGACTCTCCTCTATTTCTCTTGTAGAAAGTGGTTTCTGGAGAAGTTAAAGCCTGAAGGTATTACCTGCTTTGTTTCTTCTGTGGATCTGTTGGGAATGAGAATCTTCGCTTGGTGTAGGGGAGGGGCCCCAATTAGTATTCAGGAGTCTCAGATTCTAGCTCCCACCATGGGAGCCTCCATCTCAGTTTCTCCATCTAGCACCTGCACTTACCCTAAACTCCAGAGAGCACTGCAGAGGGCAGGGATGGTGGGAGCTGTGGAGTTGAGGGACAGAGGGGCTATAGTTAATTCTGGGTTTCAAGAGGGACTTGGCCTTCCTGACTGCCTTAGCTAGGGCCTACCCTGGGAGTTGGAGGACTGCCCCTGGACCCCAGCAGTGCATATCCTTTCACCCACAGTTGCAGGCCAAAATGTTCCCTCTTTATTATGCATTCATTCATTTATTTAGAGATGGAGTCTCACTTGTCACCCAGGCTGGAGTGCAGTGGCACAATCTTAGCACACTGCCACCTCCACCTCCCAGGTTCAAGCAATCCTCCTGCCTCAGCCTCCCAGGTAGCTGGAATTACAGGTATGCACCACCACACTAGCTATTTTTTGTATTTTTAGTAGAGATGGGGTTTTGCCATCTTGGCCAGACTGGTCTCAAACTCCTGACCTCAGGTGATCTGCCCACCTCTCAAAGTGCTGGGATTACAGGTATGAGCCGCCACTCCCAGCCTATTTTATTTCTTTGAGACAGTGTCCCACTCTGTTGTCCAGGCTGGAGTGCAATGGTGCAATCTCAGCTCACTGCAGCCTCCGCCTCCTGAGTTCAATCCTCCTGCCTCAGCCTCCTGAGTAGCTGGGATTGCAGGTGCCCACCACCAGGCCTGGCTATTCTTGTATTTTTCTTTTTTCTTTTTTTTTGAGCCACTGCAACTGGTTTTTTAATTTTAATTTTTATTCGTTTTTAATTTTTTTTGGAGACAGAGTCTCTGTCTGTTGCCCAGGCTGGAGTGCAGTGGCTCAATCTCGGCTCACTGCCCACCTTCCCGGCTCAAGCAATCCTCCCACCCCAGCCTCCTGAGTAGCTGGGACTACAGGTGTAAGCCACCATGCCCAGCTAATTATTGCATTTTTTGTAGAGATGAGCTCTCGCTATGTTGCCCAGTCTGGTCTCAAAACTCCTGAGCTCAAGCGACCCATCCACTTGGCCTCCCAAAGTGTTGGGATTACAGGTATAAGCCACCACGCCCAGCCGCTGTATTTCTTTTTTCTTTC